GGACATCGTGGTCTTGCATCAGGGCTTCGTTTCCTACTATCGCCTTGCGCCGCATTTCTTCGAAATCCGCTTTGACGCCTTTACCAGCAATTTCATCGAACGCATTGCCAACAACAGACACGGCACCATGCTCCCCCGCATACTGCCTAATTGCATTCGCGAGCGGGTGAGATGATGCAGATTCTAACTCCGCGGCAATTCCGAGAAGCGTCTTCTCAGGCACCGACGAAAGCAGGATCTCGGCATCAGACACTCGGGGCTCGCCACCTTCGGTGAGTGTTCCGGTCTTATCGAACACAACGACATCAAGTTGCGCCATGTCTTGGAAAGCCTCGCCACCTCCGCGGGCCAAGATTCCATGTTTGGCTGCAAGGCCGGATCCCACAAGAAGAGCGGTAGGTGCTGCCAGGCCAATGCCGCAAGGGCACGCCACGACGAATACTGCGATTGCAAACTCGAGAGACCAGACGACTACAGAGTTGATGTTAGTACAAAGTTCAGTGAATCACCCAGAAGAAACTCACACCATCCGCCTTGACTTGTATCTAAATAACTCCTAGAGATACCACCGCTAACACCCAAAGCAAGCCATATCAACCAAGTAACGATCGCCAATAAAGTGATGATCGGGACAAAAACGCCGGTAATGTGGTCTACAATATGCTCAATCGGTGCCCTCCGAGTCTGGCCTTCACGGACAATCTGCACAATCTGGTCCAGCCTATAGAACTAGGTCAATACAATATTTGCACCATCAAAATTAATCGGCTAACATTGTGACACCACCAATAGCGTCCACTCGAACGTCCACTGCCCTAGACTTGTTGATTGTTCCAAGAAGAACCTTGTCCCCAGCATTCTTCTTGACGAGTCTAGCCTCGCCCGTTAAAGAGCTTTCGTCAAAGGACGTCTCCGCACCGGACACGATTGTGCCATCTGATGGTGGCGTGGCACCATTTTGCACACGTACCACATCGCCAACCTCTAACAGGTCAACAGGCACCCTTTCGAACCTGAATCCAGGAGATGCAATAAAGCTACCGTTATCAAATGACACGTCACATTTTTCAAGATCATTGCGGGGAACGATTGCGGGGGTAGTAGAAGCAGAAGCAGAGTTAATGGTCAGTAGAAGAGCTTCGGAGGGGCGAAGCAAGCTGAGTGCAGTGATTGCGTCAGCAGTCCTCGCTTTACTATATGCGTCGAGGTAACGCCCTGATAATTTACATGATATCATGTAAGATATGCAACACATGGGCCCCACTCACCAAGAAGTAAAAATAGGGTCAAGAACACGACAGCGTCGAAATATGTGGTATCTTGTGCTGTACCGCTACTCGCAGGTAGCTGTGTGGCGGCAAGAATGAGAAGCGCGATCGACGAAAAGTAGGCCACAGATACTCCGGTAGAAACCTATTTAAACATGTCATCCCCTTGTGACATCGCGGATAACACGGCACATACCAGAAGGTTCATACTCCCAAATCTAGTAAAACGCTTGATGATGGGAGACGTGCTCCCTTTCCTCCATAAAGATCTGATTTCTTTGATACTCCGACGATGAAATAAATCGGCACCATAAAAGTACACTGGGGTTGCGAGAAAGAATAGTGCCCACTCAATCCGGGACGCATTTCCCTTCCACATGGGCTCCATTAGGTATTGCTTCGTGGGACTGGGAACGAGACTCATGTAAACTACGCCGATGATGAACGTGGGTATCGCCATGATAAATGTGAAAAACAGGCGCAGAAGCAATGCTCGTTTCTCGCGCTGCTGCATGCTGCGTGTGAGCTCTTCGAGCGTAGGTGGACAATGAATCGATACAGAGTATGATGTCGGCTCCACGGACACGATGGACGAGATGATGGAGCGGATGGTGAAGTCCGGAGGCGATGGCTTGTATGATACTTGCATTATAGGGTCCAATTGGTTTGATAACGATTTGATAACGGCAACGTCTGGCTGGAGCCTTCGTAAGGCAGTCATAATCTTTGCTGGACAGTTTCTGATTAACAGATATCAATAAGACTGGATGTGACAACAATGCAAAATGACGCACTGGCAATACATTCCATCAATACGAAGGGATAAAGTCCGAGGACCCGTCGCACTCTCTGATGTTAATGGGATGAGTGGCTCGGCCTTGACGACGTCGACTTCGTAACCACAGGCATCGATCGTTTCGGTCACAGAACCAACAAGGTCCTTTCGAGCAACAACCACCGTGGCGGAATGATTAAGCAGGCTAACGACTACTTCGGAGATCCCAGGGAGTTGCGAGACCATTTCGGTAATAGTACTTGGGCATGCGGAGCATGTCATGCCACCTACGGACAATGTGACGAGATGGGGCACATCATCAACGCCAACCTTATGCAAGGATCTTGGACTTAATTCTGGGTCCTTCTCTGACCCCACCATCGTAGAGCGATCCGTTGGAGAAACACTGTTGGAAGTTAGGTTGCCGGCATTACCCCGCAAGGGCGGTGGAACTATGTCCTGGAGTGCCGTAGCGGTTACCTCCTGACACGACGAACATTGTTGTATATGCTTTTGACGTTTTCCAGAAAGCGTAGTACTCAAACTCATTTGTCGTGAAAGCCTTCGCTCAGAAGCTGGGTCAGATACATCAAACCCAGCGTCTTCGAGGATGGCATGTATGGTGTGTCTGAGTATGGTAATGGCATGCCAGACTGTCACTGACTGGTGGATGATGGATATGTCTACCCTCGTTGGAGGGGGTGACAGAGAGAAGAGCACTTGATTGATTGTGCTCACACAACTGCGAAAAATAATAACATTAGCAGAATAAAATCACGACCGTTGCATATGTATACCTGCTGCAGTGAAGATTATATACGAGGACAGTGGTGTCATGCGTCTGACTCTGAGACGGCATCACGGTGTCCATAGGTGTGAAATAAGAGATACGATGAGTGGGAAGAGATGTATGGGAGGTGGGAGGACATTATATAGTGGTGAAACAGCCCAACTTTTATCAGTACTAGCTCTGGCCGTTAACGTTGAAGCAGAAAATAGTCAGCAAAATTTGAGCAAAATTGCCTCAACTTGAATGCTATTACGTCATATTGTTATGTGTTTACTGACGAGCCTCATCTTTCTTGGAGGTTTGATCAACCCCACCGTGAGCGAGATTTACGGGCCTCCAACCTCACCCTGGCTGGCTGGCTGAGCGCTCAGCCCTAAGGCCTAATCCTCGGAGTAGAGTATTTCCAAATGTAAGTAATTCTTATAATTACATAAACTCAGAGACCAAATGCGAAATTTCGCTGTCGACTCGTGTGCTGGTACTTATAATTAGACACCAACTCAGAGGTAAGAAAAAATTCTCAACAAATAGCAATCCAACCCGACCTGGGTATGGCGTGAGGTGGCGAATGTCCCCTCTCCCCACTTTGGACATGCCTTCCGCACCGCCATTGCCTTGATTGGGGCTATTGATGTTGCGTGAGAGGTCTTACTGCAACGTTACTGGAGGTCGGCGGGAGCGAGCGGCCCATAGAAGTCCAGATCAGCATCTTCAAACAGACAAGCAAGAGCTCTGAATGGCGGTAGTCTCTCGGCAGAACGAGCGAGCGAGCACTGATGGTTACCGAAACTGGTCATCCTCGTTGCTGGCAGTAAGTACTTAATATCCCAGTCAAAACACGCTACATGCATGCACATACGTGTGTACAAACATCTGAAATTTAAAATGATCTAGGTAAGGCCGTGTATAAGAACAATGCGTTTTGGTAGTATCCAGGCGTGTGAGACTGTGTATATCGAGAACATCATGTTTCGGCTACGAACATTGCAAAGCGAGTATGACGACAACAGACGAGAGCATCATGAATGTGATGAGTGGGTATGAATAATGTAGTGAGCGAGTGAGACGAAGTTGGTCATGATACGGCGACAAGGAGCCTGAGCATAAGAGGTCACGACGAATGTAAAGTCGATATTTAGGGCTGTGAAGTGAAGAAATGAGCCTCTCATTATACACTTGTGGGCCGCTTACTCGTCCCCTGGGACTCCTTTGAATGTACTGGTGTCTGTGTTCAAGGAACTGACAACGAGCTCACTGTGCGGCACTCTGGTAGTCTTTCCGTGAGATCGAGCCTCTTTTAGTATGCTTCAAATGAGATGTGGTTCCACCTTCATGCTGTTGTCCCCATTCGATACGGCAAAATCATCGAGTTAGCTATAAGTGGACCACGACACGTTACCAGATAATCAACTTAGCCATTGCACGTAGTTGCTTTGCCTTAACTAGTAGTTCCTTCTTTGCTCCGATAGCAGGATTGAATCGACGGTCATTGTGAATTTGACATGGGAAAGGGTAGACACGTCATCGGGAGCTTCATGCAGCAAGCGATCCAGGAACTGGGGGGAAGATGACATTGAGTACTGGGACATGTGTCACCAGAGTCATCAACGTTGGCCGATGCATTGGCGCGACTGCTGAGCTGAGCTATGAGATTGTCCTGGTGAACTGGGTCGACTCGGGCTAGTATTGGGAATGCTCAGGGTAATGATGGCATTTCCACAGTTGTACGAGCACCATCTGGACTCGGAGACCGTCTCGACTGATCTTGTTCGAAAGGTATCATCCTAATTAACTAGTAAGTAACTAATTCTGATGCAAAAAAATACAACCTATGTCTCCTGGATTGGGTCTGTTCTCTCCAGCTGACAGTGCACCTTCGGTTTGGAGCTCCATGCAGCAATTATCATCGACCAGGTGGCTGGTAAACACGACACTGGTCACTGTGAATTCATTGTCTAGATACAAAATACGATTACGACGCACTGCGATATGGAATGTTCAATGTGGATCCGGGCGTGCGTGTACATGTAATGCTTCTGTGTGCTGAAGTCGTATTTTGAAGTACTGTAATACTGATTTGGTAGTATTTATCGAGCAAGAAGAAATACGTTGAAAGCAAATTGGCATGTCGACGGTGGGCGCTCTGGTGGCAGTGTAACTTAAAGTTAGCACGTGAGGCTTGAGCGCTATTAAGCCGTTCCAGCTGCAAACACATTTATCAATGCAAGCAACTGTGATGAACTCATTTAGCGCCCCTCCATTACCTCCAGGGTGGACGGAGCACGTTGGTATGTGTCTCAAAACGCACTAGGCGCTCTAGTTGTTAACACATACATACAGGACCTGCGGGCCAACCATACTACTACCACGCCGGGACACGAGAGTCTACCTACGTTCGGCCACTTCCTGCGTTCCCTATTATCCCACAAGCTATCATCCCGCAGCCTCCAAAGAAGAAAGACAAACCGTCGGTAAAAACCCCGATACCTGGCACAGAATGGCTTCGTGTAACGACGACGGAGGGGAATATATTCTATTCACACAAGGCCAAGAAGCAGAGCGTGTGGACCGTGCCGGAGGAAATAAAAGATGCTCTTGAAGCATTCGAGCGTGCCGAGAAACATGAAGATGCGCAGGATCAACAACAGGAAGCAAAGGGAAAGGACGTCGAGAAGTTGGGGTTCGAGGAAGAGCAGGAGCTCAAACGGATTAAGACAGAAATGCAGAGCCTTGTAAAGCGAAAAGCGGAAGAACCTCAATTTTTGGACGAGGTTGTGATTTCGAAAAAGGCGCGAGTAGAAGAAGAGGCTGAAGGCGAAGAGGAGGAGGAGGAGGAAGAAGGGGAGGATGATGATGACGATGAGAGCGAGGAGGAGGAGTGGCAACGCGAGGCTGCTGCACAACTCGCTGCTGAAGCAGAGGAGGAGAAGAAGAGGCTGGAAGAAGAGGCCAAGTTTGCACAGGAAGCGGAAGACACAGAAGCAAAGAAAATGCAAGAAAATGAGAGGTCTCAGCTCAACATGCCCGATCGTGTCGATCTCTCTATTGAAGAGGCTAAGGCATTGTTCAAGGTCTGTCACTAGCTCTTGATTGATGACACCTTGGTTAACTTCATCGACCAGACCTTACTTAGGGAAAAGGATATCAGTCCTTTACACCCTTGGGATACTTCATTACCCTTGTTTATATCAGATCCGCGCTACGTTCTACTCCCTTCTGTTTCAGCGCGTCGTGATGCATTCGATGAATACTGTCGGGATCGCGCGCGCGAACTACGGCAACAAAATGTCAAGAAAGAAAAGGCAGAAGCAAATCCTAAGGAAGAGTATGAACGACTTCTTAGCCAAGAAGTGAAAAGCACGAGAACATCCTGGTCTGACTTTCGAAGGACATGGAAAAAAGACCGGCGATTTTACGGATGGGGGAGAGATGACCGAGAACGAGAGAAACGATTCAAGGAGTATCTCAAAGAGCTCGGAGAGAGTACGAATTTTGTTATGCTTCATGAGCGATGTATTTAGCTGACATTTTTCAATCTAGAAAAGCGTATAGCCGCCGAGAAGGCGGAGGCGAATTTCTTTACTCTTCTGCGGGAGAGCGGTGTGGTCAGGTCAGATTCATTATGGAAGGACGTAAGTATCTGTCTGCCTTATCGTCATCGGATATGTTGAAAGTTTGTATTCTAGGTGAAACGAAAATTATCCCATGACGCACGATACGATGCTGTCGGGTCTTCGTCTCTGCGTGAAGAGCTATTCCAGACCTTCCTCAAGGCACACGGGTCTTCATCTTCGCATTCAACCTCTACTAAAGTTACAGATGAGACGGGAAAACACGGTACAGAAGAAGATGCAGAGCAAAAGCGCAGAGACAAGAAGGAACAAGCCCTCAAAGAACGTGAACAAAAGGTGAGAGCTGATCGTAGTCGTATGGACGCCGAAATAGGGCGCTCCAAGATGGGTCTGAACCTGGAGGAAGGTGAAAGAGAATTCCGGTGAGCCGCCTTTACTTTCCAAAATTCAAGAGTCCAGGTCACGTCGCTCAACTTCTTTCCATTTTCTTGTTTAGCACACTGCTTACAGATGCAGTGCGAGATCCACAGGTACGGTTACTTTTTTCTTCGAGCCAGTTGCTAATCCACATCTCATTGTGATCGCAGGCCACCTGGGAATCGATACGTCCCCAACTACAAACCGATCCTCGATTCAATAACTCCCCTCTCCCTGTAAATCAGCAATTGCATCTCTTCCATACACATATGAGTCAGTTGCAGATGAAACATTTGGCCGGTCTACATTCGTTGTTCCAAGCCCATGCTCCATCCTTAGCAACACCATTCTCTGCTCTTCCGCTTGAATCCATATTAAAATCTCTTCCGGTGACAAAACTCGACTTTGACACTCGTGGTCTCCAGCAAGAATACGAGAAATGGCAACGCGAACGGACATACGAATGCAGAAAAGCATTCGACGAGATGCTTGCGGAGAACTCCTTTGTTGAGTTCTGGGGAAGATTGGGAAAAATCGGAGGTGAAGGAGTCGAGGGAGGGGTCAAAGCAGATGATTTAGGTGAGGATGAAGGCGAAGGTTTTGGTGGAAAGGTCGACATGAAAGCGCTCGCAAAGAGTGTGGACCTTTCGGACATCGAGAAAGTGCTGAAGGTATGGCTAGTCGTTCGTGGAATGGATGTGACAACTAATTAATTGTTAGAATGATAAGAGATACATTATGTTCGAGCATGTGGCAGCACAGCGAGAACGATGGTTAAGGGTGAGTTGAAAGAAGGGTTTGGAATTTGCAACCTTGTCTAATAATCCATGCTAGGATTATGTTGCAGGTCTGACTGCACCTAAACTATCTGTTCATGTGTAGCATAGTTGATTCATGTACTTAGTAGCTCAAGCGCTCATCTCCTTGAGTTCTTCATTTGATTTACAGCTTTTGAGAACACGCGTGTCGTCAGGTGACACTAGAAGTCAATCACGTGGTATCGAACACGTCAGTACTTTCAATTTCACACAAGGATTTCATACTTCATAAATAATTACCGAACTGCTGTTGGACCTCAAAGCACCAGACAAGAGACCACTCCCGTTCCCAGTTGACTCACTCGACAATGCGTCTGCTGAGTCCTCTAATCCTGTCACTTACAGCCCTCTCGTCATGCGTTCTTGCGCAAGATGCAGGTGCTAATAAGGTTAAATATGACTACCAGGTAGGCTCCGCTTCTGTTTTGTATTAATATGGCTTAGCAGATGATTTGTTTGACAGAGCGATGTTGCACGCCTGCGCAAGATAGTTGTCAACAGGTGCAGTAGCCTCACATTAGAGTCGACACCGAGCGCTATTAACTATGTACTACGTACTGCAGTCTTTACTCAAACAGGTGACATTGCAATCCCTGAAGCTTCACACATTCTCTTTGCTGAACCCACTTATCTCAGGGACGTGTTCTTGCGGGAACTCATTTCAAACGCCAATGATGCACTCGAAAAGCTTCGGCTCACCGCGCTCACAGAGAAGAGCGTATGGGATGGTGTCTCCCCTCTGAACCTCACCATCAAAACGGAGAAAGATCCCAATGGCGAGGGTGGTCGTATCATCATTACCGGTATGAATCACTCTGCACCATGGTATGTCGCAGTACTTACTGTTGTGCCCAGACACCGGGATTGGCATGAGTGCAGCGGAACTGACAACTAACCTGGTACGAGTGTTGTCGTCTTACTGAGCGTGAGTGTGACATAACAACATTTTGAATATTTAGGGTACTTTGGCAAAGTCCGGAACTTCTGACTTTCTTGCGGGAGTGGATGGCGACGACTCGACCGCAACTGGCAATCTTATTGGTGCATTCGGGCTTGGTTTTTACAGCAGGTCAGTGCAACTTTCGAGTCCGTGGACACATGGTTAACTTTCCACAGTTTCCTTGTGGCAGATAAAGTTACCGTTGCATCTTTATCCCCATCCTCATCCAAGAATCCTAACCCTATCCAGAATGTCTTCAGTTCTTCTGCGGATGAGGGTTCATTCGAGATATACCCTGACCCACGCGGAAATACCCTCGGGCATGGAACTGAGATTACACTTTATTTGAAGAGTGACGCTTCCCATTATCTTGTGACCTCTAACCTTATGAAGCTTGTGTATGTATCTCACTCTATCTTGTTGCGCATCTTTTTGAGAAGTATCTCAGTAACCAGCACTCTGGATTTTCGACTGCCTTCCCGATTTACATTTGGTATGAGGCTGAGGAAGAAGTTCCCGACGTAGACGAAGAGGTTGTTTTAAGCGAGCAAGAAGAGAAATCTACTGACGTGGATGAGGATGAAGCCGTGGTCGAGGAAGATGCAGAGAAGGAATCCGCATCTCCCAAGATGAAGAAGGTCATAGTTGGTCACTGGGAACACTTGAACGCGCAGCCTCCCCTCTGGATGCGGTACGTTGTTGCTCTTGCTCTCGCAAGGATATGCTCATCTTCTTGCCAGCGATCCAAAGACAGTCACTGATGAAGAATATGAGTTACTGTACCAGGCAACCTTCAAAGACTTCCAGAAACCCCTTGCATGGCATCATTTCCATGGTGACTCGGAATCCGGCGTGTCTTTCCATGCTCTCATTTACATTCCCTCGCGTTTGTGAGTAGTTGTGATGATGATTATGTGCTTCTTACCCATGTCTTTCAAGGACTGAGGAGTTTTTCAACAAGCCACTCGATAATTCGGCAAAAGACGTCAAACTGCTGGTGAAACACGTGTTCATCACCTCTGACCTAGGTGAATATGGCTTGCCGAAGTGGGCTAGCTGGGTGAAGGTCATTATCGACGGTAAATCGGTTCGGTTCGGCCCAGGGAATTTGTGTTGACTTCTATACCTATCATCTAGCTGATGACCTCCCATTGAATGTCTCTCGCGAAACCCTCCAGTCCAGCTCTTTCCTCAAACAGATCAAGCAAATTATTTTACGCCGTCTCATTCAGCTCTTTTCTAAAATTGCTGAAGAAGACCAGGAAAAATATGCAGAGATCACGAAGCATTATGGTCAAGTCTTGAAACTGGCCGCGTCAGAGGACAGTAAAAACCGCCAGAAACTGGCAGCTCTTGTACGCTTTGACACAAACCAACGGGGAGCCGTATCGTTTGACTCGGTTGGTGGCTATCATTATTATCATTCGGGAGCATGGATCTAACCTTATACCATCCCAGTATTTGGAGAACAGGAAGCAAGGACAAAAGCAGGTGAGTGGTATTGAGAAGAAATGGAGCAACATGTTTGAAACACAATCCAGATTTTCTATCTCGCTGACATGGGCAAATCCATCGACCATCTATCTCAAAGCGTGTTTGTAGAAAAGTTGCACGCCCGCGGGTACGAAGTACTGCTTCTGAACGAGCCATTGGACGAAATTATGCTTCAAAGCATCCGAAATTGGAAGTAAGCCACTGATGACCTTCACGATTGAAAGAATATTTCACTGATGGATTAACAAGGGGTGTCCCATTCCAGGACGTCGCCAAGGCTGGATTGGATTTCGGAGATGGTGAGTCCCTATCAACGTGAGTTTTCGTTATTCTCATACCCGCACAGACACCCAAGAGGAGAAGGATGAAATCGCGGAACTGACAGACAAATACGCTCCCCTTCTTGAGTGGTTGACAATTGAGGCTGGTGACAATGTTAAGAAAGGTGAGTATCCATTTTACGATTATATGATACTCTAACCTGAGGTTGTGTATTCGTCAGTGATCGTCTCTAATAGGCTCGTCACGAGTCCTTGTGCAATTGTCGCAGACAGCATGGGTTACACAGCAAATGTCCAGAAGCTCATGAGTGCGTTGAACTAGTGACTTGGCAGCGCTGGTTGAGACTGAGAAGACATTTTCAGGTGCCACAAGCCGCGGGGCCCAGCAGAATGATGCTATGCAAGTCTATATGAAGAAGCAGAAAGTTCTGGAAATCAATCCGCGATCGCCGTTGATCGAAGGCCTCCTAGAACACGTCGAGCAATTGAATGCAGATGGCGATGACAAAGACCTAGATTCTGAGGCACAGCTCAAAGAGGTTACTTCTATCTTGATCGACGGGGCTCTTGTTCGTTCCGGGTTTGAAGTTGCCAACTCCAACATGTAGGTCCTGACAAAACTGATAGAACGATGTCTCATAATGACGCCACGCAGGTTTTTGACTCGTGTGGATAGAGTGCTCAGGCGATCACTCGGTGTCTCTGAGACCGCACCGACAGATGACACCGTGAAACCAGCTCCTCCCGTTGACCCAGAGTTGCCTAGTGACATACCCGATCCTGAGGAAGTGAACAGCAACCAGATTCAATTCGAGATGGAGGAAATTGATGAACATGGAAATGTTGTTCACGATGAACTGTAATGTTGCAGTAGATCTCATAGCAGTTCAGGCTGGTCAATAATAAAATCAATGTCTATTTACACCTGACCAAACGACTCGGGTGGGCGATTTCAGAGTTTAATAACGTTCATGTCTGAGTCGACTACCAAGAAAATTCCTACTGTGTACTTCACAGTTGTGAGAAACGATGACAGACAGAATTTCTGGGTATACCAAGGCGAATAACGTACATAAGATATAACGGAGTATCATAGGGGGTATCGGTAATATTGATGGTAAGGCACGCGTGGATCAGTACATAGTTCGTGGTTGGTTGTCAAGACACGCGCTACTTGGTCTGTTTCACAGGTTAGAGCGTTTACATGTTCAGCCAGAAGTGTAGGCAAAGCTCCGTCATGAGGTGAGGTCGAGAGCGGTCCAGCGGGAGCAGTTCAGACGTCAGGCTGGGCCTCCTCTGACTTAAAGAAAATATATTAGGGGGCAAGTAAGATGAAGAGCTATCGTGCGATTCGAGAACGCCATCACCCTCTAATGATGAGACACTTTGAGTCTTCCGACGAGTGCGCAATCTCTTAGGAGTACGGGAAGGACGAGATGGCGCTGAAAGCTTAAGCCTTCTAATCTTCTTCGTCGCATCAAAGCCGATGCATTCGTCATTGCCAAAGACGACGGTCGAGATGATGCACTCAAACGCATCTTTGTGCTTCTCGATGTGAAAGTAGGGGATACCAGACCGACCATATGTGGACGCGAAGCTTGCGATAGTCGCGGCAGAAAGATATCATGAAAGCAAAACGTCTCCAAAGCTGATGCCTCGGGATTATGTGCACCTTGGTGTCGTGTTTTCCCGGCTTGTACTTACTGCTCGTCAGTTCGGCGACTACCTTGATCCGCGCCCATCCGTGGGTCATCCGGCATGATAGTGTCAGGTATGCGGCGGATATCTTCGGGACAGTGGAGTGGGCCCACTCTATATGTGATTGCCGGAACAGACAATTCTTGGTGCTGCGCGAGCGCAGTGGTGCTGAGGGCATTGAAAATGCTTCCGTCATTCTTCTCGATGCGTTTGTTTTCTTTTGATTACCTTTGTTGACCGAGTCCTTGGGTGTCCAGTTCTTGGATATCCCACAGCGGTGTAAGGTCAATTTCAGCTTTGTTGTGAAAAAGTTTGTTGATTCGCTCATTGCGATGGAGGTTAAGACCGGAAGATGTGGGAAGATGGTAACCAAGCTTGTTACAGTTGCCCCGCCTCTGAGAGGACAATCCTCGATAACCAGACGATTTGATTCCCGTGTAGCTAGCTTGTCCATTGTACATCTATGAGCTACGTCGTTAACGAGAGGAAAGAGACGACACCGTGACTTTTATCCCGAGGTTTAGCATTGAAAAATGATGACCACGTGGGAGGCTATGCCACCTCTCAAGTTGATCCCACCACAGTACTTGGGTATTACCGTTGGCAGCACTATCCAGAACGTCCATATATATATACGACAGTCCACGCCGAGCATTCGCTGACCTTCACAATCGTTTATAGACTGGACGCGAGTTTTCCGTCTGTATATACTTCATGGCTACGCCCGCAGCCTTCTCCCGCCTTCAATTAGCTGCAGCGCTACTTGGTAAGTGTGCGAGACTTGGTTGACCGACACCCTTCACAAAGTCTCTTGCAATTGCAGAGTATGACAATGATCCAACCAACCCCAACTTGCCCCTGGTCTCCGCACATGACAGCGCTATCTTCGCTCATCTCCGAAGAGGGCAGTCTCGTAAGAGTACTGACTACCTCGGAGTATCTGTGCCCAGTGAAACAGGCGATTCTACTCTAGGGAACCGAAGGTCTAGAAGCTCTATCGACGGACTGAGGAATCCTTTCGGAGCTGATGATGATGAGGAGCTCGAAGACGAGGAAGCTGGCGAGGTAGATCTTGCTTCATGGGGCCTCGACGGATTCATCAAAGACAAAGACAAAGCAAAAGCAAAGGGCAAGGCGAAGGCTAAGTCAGAGGTGTTGCCTAACCCTCATCCGGTAGTGATGACGTATCGAAATGCCCGGAGCGCTATAGATGACGGACCTCGGGGAAGGTTGTCCCGCCCAATCAGTATGGGGACTATGGATGACCTTGGCGTTGGAGGTGCCTTCTTGGATGCTGAGAACACTGCTGGTTCAGACATTGCTCGTCCTCGATCTTCTGCTGACTTGGAACGGATGCAATCCCCTCAGCGTCCAATGCCACGTCGCCGTGAATCTAGCCACGTTCTCATCGAGACAATGCCTGTTGTACCTCCTCTTCATTCTGTTCCGTTCCCGTCTGTCTCAATTCGAGACGGTTCTCCCGGTGGAGAAAGACCTGCTTCACGTGCTGACTTACATACCCGTACTCAATCCGACACTAGTATGGGCTCAAAGAACTTTTTGAGCGGCGCAAATGTTGATGCGGAGGGCAGTCCCTTTTCTGTCCGACCCCCTTCACCTGACCGTGCATCCCGGTTTGATCCCAAAGTCAATCATGGCAGATCAACGTCTAATGCAACGATGGGTACCATGGCATCCAAGAATATACTTGCAGAGGATAACCCCTTTGCTGTAAGACCTCCCTCTCCTTCCCGGTTGTCACGATTCGATCCCAAAGTTCGTGCGCGAACAATGTCCGTTGGGTCAATGGGTACTCGGGTCCTCATTGATAATGACACCGAAGCAGACTCGCACAGGGATCGACCTTATTCCACCGTTGAGCTACTTAGGCCAAAGGTTCTGGTTATGCCAAGCCCATTGCAAAATGTGGCTCCTCCCCCCCCTCCCCCTCCTTCCTTTACACCTAGAATTGGGTTTGAGACATCTACAGATGGCCCACCCTTGCCACCAGGTGCTCGCTCTGCAAACCGTTCGTCTACCTCTTTAACGAACTACATGACTCCCGCTTCAGCGCCCATAGCATCCAATTCTTTCACTCCTAATCCTCGAGCAAGTCTTACGCTGTCTCAACTCGCTTTTCGCAACACACTTGTGGTCGGAGGGCAAAGAGATATTGCGTACTCTGATATTGACCGTCGTCTTCCTCGAGCGATGAAAGATGGTGAACAAGCGAAGTTCGAAGAACCAGAAGAAGAAGAGTCTCCTGTGCCCGTTTCAATACCCCTCCCTCCTGTCCCTCCTCCCACTGAGGTGGAAATGAAGCGCCCGGCTGGGAAGCTCTATGGAAGGAGTTTGATAGATAATCTAGAACATCGCAAAGCGGAGATAAAGCAGAAAGCTCGGTAAGCATCTCAACTGTTTTTTCAGTACCGTCCTGACGGTCACTTTAGTGTCTTCACCGGTGACGAAAGACCATCGATGATGGTCCGGGGTCAGATTCGCCGATCAAGCACTCTCATTGACCCCCAGACACTTGGTCGTCCCCCCTCACAGAATCTTGACAATGTGATCACTCCAAATCCTCGCATGTCTCTCTTACGCCGGAACTCCTCTGGCAGCAAGCCTCTCCTGGACATGGATGGAGAAAAACCTCCCACGAATCTTGGTCCAGGGGCAGAGCAGCTTTTGTCTAAAAGTCGCTCGGTGTTTGGTGTGGACACGCTGTGGGATCTTGAAATGGCCAAGTTGAAAAAAATGGAGGCAGAAGAGAAAGTTGAAGCTGAAGCACGGAAGAAGCGGGAAGAGGAGGAAGAGGAACAGCGGAGCAAGAAAAAGAAGAAAGGAAAATTCAAAGGAAAAGGTAGCGCCATTCCGCTAGAGTCCACTTCACCCGACCTCCCCTCTGGACCACGAGTAGGCTCGACCCCTCCCACTTTGCCTGCCATCCAGAAGCCAATTATTAAGCGCGCACCGCAGGTCGATGAGAGTGAAACCGACAGCGACGACGACGATGCTGTGCCAAAGGCAGCTCTCGAAAAAGCGGCTGACCGCTGGGTTTCTGAGTCTTCAGACGAAGACAATGAACTCAGACGAACCACTGGGGTTGGGCTACGGTCATCCCATGCCAACGCATCTTCTCAGTCTCCACAACTAAATGGCGATGACAGCGAAGAAGATCTTCCTTTGACAGCCGCTGCTCAGCGTGCTGTCAGGCGAGCATCGCAATTGAGGCCATTGGGCTTTGAAGATGATTCGGAAGAAGACATCCCGCTGACGGCAGCAGCAGCTAGGATTGTCAAACGGACCACTCAGCTTTCGCATCATGCAGATGACGATGATGAGGACGAGGACAAGCCCCTGGTGGATGTCATCAACAAAGCCAGATCTGTCAACTTCGATGGCCAATCGCGCGCGGATGACGATGAGGACCAGCGGCCGCTTGGTCTACGGGCCTCTAGATTACCACTGGCCTCTCAGACATCGTTGCCTTTCATTGGCGGTGAAGAAGATGACGACAAGCCACTGGCCTTCCATCCTGAGCAACAACGTCGAACACAGTACCAGATGTTCGCCCAAGCTCAGCAGCAACAACAAATGATGATGCAAGCTCAAATACAGAACAGCATGTTTTTCAACCCCGCCATGATGGGATCCGGCATTTTCACGCCTATGGCCGTCCCTTCAATGATGATGGGTGTACCAATGGCTCCCCCTTCACCTCCCCCAGCGCACGATGCAGGCAAGTATGGTCGTGTGGACAGGTGGCGACGTGATGTTGCTGTGGAGGGTGAGTGAGAGCTGAGCAGTTTGGATGGTTTATGTTTCTTTGGCTTTATATTTGCTTTTTATCGCAGGATTTTTATGAACACTCTTTGGACATTCGCTCACTTTTTACAATTCTAGTCAGTCCTTTAATGTCCGTTGCGTACAGAAATACATCGGTATAGTCGAGATCAAAACGCGTGAACAGATCGACGTGAGAAATACCGAGGAGCATTGAACAAATCCTTGAATGGTGGTATGGATTAAGGAGTATGCAGTTATGGTACGATGACATAGGGAAGGAGGGTGCCGATAAGTAGTACTATGAAACGCAAATAACACATAGAATGAGTGGCCATGGAATGGTTGATCAACAAGTTCATGAGGGGTTCGTTATCCATAGCTTGCGCTTGGGGACTGTGACGATAGACACCTCTCGTCTACCCATCTCTTCTTCTATCCGCCGCTGTCTGGTCTCTTCATCTACATCCTCCTCATCGTAATCTGTTTCGACTGAGCGAGGCCCACCGATAGTTGTGGACACATCATCATGAGCCCTGGCAGCGCGATAAGGAGGTTCATGCAGGTATGGGCCACGAGTATCGGTGGGGAAAGGATATTGTTCGTTGCCCACCATTGACAACGGGCGGGAGGTCGGGGTCCCGGGAGAAACAGTCGGCGGAGGCTCCGCGCGAAACCGGGCGATGAGATAAGTAAGTGTGGACCTCCTTGGTCGACCATGCCATGCGAGAGTAAAAAGGCAAATATAAAAGATAAAAGTCCATAGAAGAAATATTGCAAAGAGTGCTAGATGAGCCCGATTCCACAGCGCGATGAGGGAAAGAATGCAAAGAGCTAAAACGAGAGTATGGAAGAGGACACGAAGGCATATCTCAAACAACGAAGGCAGCTCGTGAGTAATGTGGGGGAATGTTGGTGTAGGCACGAGAGCACGGGTGCTCAACATCTCTGCTGTGTTGGGAGTAGAGCTATTGATGAGGTTGCGTTGACCTTGGCCAGAAACAAGATCGAGTTCGTTCTAAGATGACATTGAATTTCTTCTATTAGAAACAATTAGAAAGAGGTCGGTGCTCACCACTGCGTTCAGACTGCGGCGTCGATCAAGCCAGTCTACGTCACCCAAACTCCTTGGTGCAACAGGTACGCGTTGATATGCATCTACATTTGGATACGCAAGCCCATTTGCGCTGGATCTACGAATACGTGCTGGGCGATTGACGACCTCGAATGCTCGTTGCGGCCCAGACGAGTGTACGGACTCGCTGTCAGTAGAGGTTCTTCCTTCCCGACTCCTGCGGCCCAGCAAGAAGCTCGAACCACCCCAGGAATGTAAACGAGTGCGAGGAGTATGTTGAGAAGGGGGATACTGTGAGTGCTGCGTGGCAGTGTATGCTGCGAGCTTCTCAGCAGTGTCGGTGGAGTTGGCGCGAGAAGTAATTGCCTCTGGACTGATCTCTTTCGGTGGGTGCGATGGCGAGCAGCACAGATGAAAGAGATATAGAAGGGGCATCATCACATAGAGTGCGATGAATAATGCAAGTCCTGCGACTCCATGCCCAGTTGGTAAAACTGCACGTTTCACTGTGGTCCCTGTGGAGCTCATTGACGTGAACGCCGAGACAAGACCGCCAACACCAGCACCATATGCTGCAAGAGCTACAATAGCTGATAAATATAAGAGAGCAAGATTACGATCCGTGGGACGATGTGTTTTTGCTGGAGGCAGAGCCAGACGTAAAAGAAGGAGGGATGGGAGAAGAATGGCAAGAGAAAGGGGTGC